AAAAAAATATATTTAAAATGAAATTACATAAAAATTATAGACACAATAGTTACAGAATGTAACATTTAAATAATATAAGAGATGATAATACTTAAAGAATAAGAAGAAGAGAACAAAGATATAAGGGAGATGGAGGAAGAAGGAAGTTCTGAAAAGGCAAGTGAAGGAAAAGAGATGAAAACATGCACAACTTTAAGAAAAGGTTGGGATGTTTCATTTCAAAGCCATTGTTACGTGACCAATGTTAATGTTTCTAGATAAGTACAATAATTTCTTTGTTAAGATTTTACAAATGTGAATTAACCTGCAATAACTTGGACAGATGAATGGACGGACAATTGATAGTTGCACCTATGTAATTTCCAAGTCCTTGCGTAATTTATAGCTTAATTGTGCAGTACAAGTCGAATGCATTTCTTCCTTGACATAAAAATGTATTTGAACATTTCATTATTTCTAAATTGAAGAAAGAATCTTTAAGAAAAAAGATGATGTTCACAATTAAAATCTTAAGCTTATAAATTTCAGTGAACTTGTGTTGATGTTCACGAACATGACTGCTGGCACTTATTTAACACATGCAATAAAATATATGTCAATGTAAGATTTTTCAGCTTTTAATTATTAATAGATCATCACCAGTCACATGTATTTGCAACCCTGAAACTGTAATACACATAGTTTAGAAATAAAACCATGTATTATTACTTTCTGCAAGGTGTAATGGCACCATAAAATAATTTGGGATGTTTAATAAACTTGAAAGACTAATTTCACAATGAGTTACTGGATAATCATACAACCAAACTTGTTAGATAAATTATTTTTCATTGTTATCAGCATTGTGACACCAAAAGTCACGGACATAGAACATCACAAATGACACTGTGTTTAATGAATACTTTTTCTCCTCAGAAAGAGGTGACGAAATTATGACATTTGAATCTTAATTTTCAAGCTGGAATCATTTTCACCAAGTCAATGAACTTCACCTTCATTTATAATGGATTTAAGAAATAATAAATTAATAAAGTATACATTTCAACTGAGTCTTATCCTTTTAAAGATATATGGAAATACCAAATAAATAATTTTCATAGTATTAAAATATCCCTTTCAGTGCTAAGAAAATACATAAACATATTAAGACAGAAAATTGTGTGAAATTCTTGAAACAAGCATGTTCTTAATTTTTTTTAAATTCCTTTTAACACAAGCACTTAAAATACTCCTTATGACAAATTTAATCTTGAGTGTTGGTCCAAGTCCACTATTCAAGTGAGGAATATTTCAGACATCTTTAGAAGAACAAATGAGAGTAAAAAAAGCATTCAATTTTTCAAAGCATCCCTTTCTCCTCAATTATTAACATGGATTTGAATGAATACATTTTCTAAGAATATACATGTTCACTGATATTCCAAAATTTTAACACTTTCTCTTCTTTCAATAATATTTCATTTATGTAATCAGTTGGCAAGAATTTATTAAGGCTACAACTAGTGTACATTGCAATCTTTCAAAACATATTAAATTAACTCAATTATTGCAACTCCATAGAATTATTATCTTCACTAGGCAACAGTGATCAATTATGCTCATTTCCTTCATGAATTATGAAGAATAAAACCAATACATCAAAGTTTTCTATTATTTCTCAACATTCAATTTTTAGTAGAGTAGGATTGCACAAGCTTGAGCATTGTCTCTACTAGTGATACAATGACTTTCATTCCCCAGACATAAATAATAACACATATTTTGAAGTTGAACATTTTTCAGGGGTATGTTTCATAATCTCAATAGTAGATACTAACAATGTCCCTTTTTTTCGATGAATTTTAAATCAAAAACAATTTTACACACATTTTCCTTTAAGAACAATTTTCTTTGGGAAGGCAAATGTTTTATTAAAGAAATCTTTTATATCCAAATTCATTAGTTTCAATCACAGAGAATCATTGTTTGTAATATGTGAAAAGGTTAATGATATTTGTAAATTAACTTTTTTTAAAATATCTTTGGAATGTAAAAAATTATGAAACATTGTTGATTTCTATAAATTTGATAATTGTCTCATAGAATCAAAATATTTATATAGTAATATTGAAATAATTGTAGTAACTAAGCTTATTCAATAAACAATCTTGAGTAAAAATATTCTTGAATATCATGAAAACAACTTGAACCTAGATTCTGTAGTTGTGTTTCATCATCATAATTCAGTATCAAAGGTTTGTGACATGAGCATTTTGTCTATTAAATTAATGAAAACTGTAATAATTGCATAATAAGTACATACACCAGAAGTTTCACAAGTAATTAAATAAATACTTGCAAGTACCCTAAATTCAAACACTAAGATCGAATTCTGAATAATTAACCCAGAAAAACTGAAAGAACATTGAGAATCTTGGGTAACAGTGAAAACACAACAAATTAAATGTTTTCATGCTAATATTTTTGAGAAAATAAAAAAAAAGAAAAGATAATAGAGTAATAAAACTAAAAAACGGAGATGACTAAATATTACCAGCCTCTTGACAATATTTTTATGTTTTTCTTTACATTTTAATTTCACAACACTACAATGTGAAAACCAGGAACAAAAACTCATGGCTGATATCTGAAAAGTATATATTCTTCAATTAGATTTCACTGAATCTACAATTGGATTTCTGCTGTAAGATATGGCCTCCAATGCAATATAATTGCCACAAATAGGTTATAATTCTAATAATCTATGGTTAACGATTAGCATTTTTGACATACATCTGTATCAAAGTTGAAACATTGGAAGATTAATATAGTTAAAAAAGGCTCTTGTTTTAGGTTTGTGAACTATTTAACTCCTGTTTCTTTCGCTGTTCTATTGAAGTCTTCAGTACTACAGACTTTTACATCTTAAGTACAAGCATTAACAAAGTTGCATAACAATGAATCACACTAAAACGCTTTAAAAATATTAAATTTATATTTTTTTCTATATTCCTTTTTTAACATCACAACAATATATTTTCTTTAAACTTTAATGTTTCCACATAACTGAAGAAATTCTGCCACAAAATTATTGATATCGGCAGTCTAAAAGTAACTGATCTATATTCTACAAATTTTGAATCAAATCGTTGAAGTGTTTATGTTGAGGTATGTTCTATAAAAGTATAAGCTTATTCTCTTCTTTGTTCGCAAATACACAAAGTCTCTTCATACATTTTAGTATTTTGTCTCACACAAATATAGATAATTGTACATATTCATGATATCTCAAATCTTTGTAGTTACAGATGTATTGTTAAAAATGATAGTGAAAAAATTTCATACAATGGAGTTCAGTTGTAAGAAATTAAATTAAAATTGTCTACAAAATTCCTAATTACCCTTATTTATAAAATAAACTAGCCCACTGACTTTATAAAAGAAATTCACAGAGAATACATAAATGTATTCATTAAATACAACCATCGGTCTAAAATAAAATGAACTTGGAGCTAAGGTGTAATATTATTTTTCAGTGTTTAAAATAAATCCTGTCTATACATTTTATAAGAAAATGTGCCTCATCCCGTGTCAGAAAAAAAAATACTCAAAACTGAAAGGCAAAGAACCAAATTCTAAACAAAAAAGGTTCACTATCATTATCATGCTGAGTATCCAGTTTGTTGCTCTTTTCTTCTTCTACAGCAGACTGGATTACTATTTCTCTGGGTGTTCTAGCAAGATAAACTTTTTTTATACACTTAACCTATTATCCATCAATTGAAATGAAAATTATTATTTATTTTAATAAAATTGAGTTTTGGAGGTAATTTTATTTTACTGATGCAAGTAAATCATTCTTTGTGTTTTGTCTTCTGTCTGATTTGGTTCTATTCATTATGTATTTTCTTATGTACTTCAATCTTTGGTAATCAAGTCACACAATTAGGGTGCTTGCAAGACAAAATCAAATGGGTCAAAATCAAACACCATGAATAGTGTAATTCCAAATCATAGTTATCCAATAATGAAACCCACCACAGAAATATATCACTTGAATTACTCAAAACATGCACAATTACAATCACAGAGAATCACAAAATAATGAAATGCTCTCAAGTGAGAAAAACACGTCTTCTCCAGTACTTAAAATGCACTTTATGCCCATAAGGAAGATTGTCACATCAATTTTTGTTGTGATGCAAGTGTAGAATCTCATAAAAATTAAACCTGGAAGCCAATCAGAATCTATCTAGCCAGAGGCTCCTCACCTGAGGTTGTTGGCAGGGCTTTGACGTAAGAGCAACAACTCCTTTTTAGCTTTGAATACAACCTCAAAATTGATGCTGAAATATATGTGATTATTATATTGTTCCTTGACATTTTCTTCCTTATCTTTTTTTCCCCTGCATTAGCAGGAAACCATTGTCCGCAATGGGATGCTGTAAGGCTGTAATAATAATCCTTTTCTTACTAGGGTAGATAGTATCTACCTTGTTTCTCCTTATAGTATGCCATTGCATGAATAAATGCACATTCCATTTCCAGCCTTTGACAGTTTCAGGATTGCATACACCAGTAATTGTGTTGAAATTATGTATTTTTATTTGATATTGAAAGTAATAATTGTCTATGTGAAAGTTGATCAAATTATAGGTTCCTCTCATTATTGGCAATCAAATTAGATATCTTTTTCCACCAAATTCTTTAGCAATGTTGGTTCACCACATCATCAGACAAGTTACCATTACATAAATACTCAAATATTTTCATTTAAGTTTCTTAGGGTACAATTTTTTGAAGATGTGTTGTAATTACTTTATTTGGGGTGTTATATTTTCTTATTTGAACTTTATCACAGAAAGGAAATAAGTGGAGTTAAAATCATTAACAGACATATATTATAACAAGCCCTCCAAAGTTTAACTGATTAGGGAATATTAGGTTGTAGATTAGAGAAATTAAAAAACAAAATTAAAAAATACAACAAACAAATAGAATAATCAAACAACATTTTTTAAGAGATATGTACCAAGAGGCAAAGTTAAGAATACATATCCTGATAACAAAATATTTTAGTGTAGACAAGAAATATGAATAATGAAAAGAAGAGATTGTCAAAGATTAAACGCCATATTGATGAATTCCTATGACATTTTGTGGGAGTCATCTTCAAAGACAGAAAAGAAGGCAAAGAAGAAAATACGTTGGTCAAAGACAAAAACTACAGTAGAAGAGAATAGGAGAAAAGAGAGAAACGATGGTTAGAATAATTTACTCACATCAACAGCATAAAGAAGGAAAGCCAATCAAATGTGTGGCTGAGATATAAGCCATTAACGAGAGTCATTGGGAGACATCAACAACTAGATGTGTTACAACAGCAAATACATTCTTGTATTATTTGTAACTTTTGCAATTTTTGAAAATTTATGGAGTTCAACAAAAATGAGACTTGTGCAGTTTGTTCACTCTATGCAAAGAAACAATTTAAAACTGATTTTAAGAACACATTTTTTTCATAAATTACTTTTACTGCAAGCAAAAATTACGTGAAAACTATTCATAATTTTAAAAAAATTGTACATTACCTAATTTTAAAATCCAACATTTGATAACAGATTTTGTTAAGGAAATTCTCTCTATCTTCAATATTGCAGAAAGACACTGAAAAAACTTTGAACTTTTGCAGTTTTTGAAAATTCAGAGTTCAATAAAAATGAACCCTGTGCTTTTTTATGCACATACTTTTGCTCTATAGATAAAAATTGAATCCAAAAATTTGGATTTACTTTCGAGAAAATATTTATAAAACTCCTTGTATTACACTCAAAATTACATGAACACTTAACATATTTTGAAAAGATTGTACATAACCATTTAAAGATCTAATTTTATTGTAGTTGTAGGAAGACATCAAAAAAGGTTTTAACTTTTCTAATTTGCAAAACATCCAGTATTCAAAGAAAATCAGACCTGCAGCATTTTTATAAGCATACTTTGCTCTATGTAAAGATAACTGGAACCATTTTTTAGAAAATGTTGAAGATGATGTTGAGATTTCATGTAAACTAGACCCCAAAATTAAAATTTTCATTTAAAATTCAAGCAGCCACTGCATCAGCCAGATCGGTTGGAGTATATCAATTTTGGTGAAAATCTTGTATATAGTTTAGTCGCTAGTATTCACAGATGGACAGACTGACAGAAAAACAAACATTTTGCCATAAACCAATTTTCTGGTATCAAGGACCCAGAAAATACGGATTCTGACGACACAATTTCATTGTCCTCACATTATGTTAGAGAAAGTTATTTACCGCACATAAAATTATCCATTTTTTCACTGAGACTCACAGAATGAGATTTCTGTCAAAAAATTGCTGCTCTTGCTCCATACATTTTCTCTACAATACACAGGCACGGATTCAGAAAGAATTTCAGGTAGAGGCCATAGTTTAGGCCGATTTCAGTTCAGACTTACTTAAATATTTTTGAAATAATAACTTTTATTAGCTTTATGTGCTTTGCAGATTTTGTTGTTTGTTTTTAAAATGTCATCTGTTACAAGACTGTTAGCATGCATACAATGTCCAATGAGGAACCCTTAAATAAGAGAACGTGAATTATTCTACTTCCATAGTGGACAATTCAATTCTTCCCCAAGGCATTCCCTAAGATTGGAAATTGAATAAGCCTAATGCAGAACAAACCAATTTTAATTTTTATGATAAACTGTACTAAGCTACTCCATTTCCTTTCAATGCATTTTCAATAATTACAACACAAACATCTTAGGGTCAAAAGTTTACATCTCTTTTTCTCGTCATTCACTATCACCAAAAATATTCTTAAAAGAAAACTAAAAACCTCTCAATTCCCAGAACTTTCACAAGAAAGATCTTGATATGCATATGGTGTTTCACATGAAAGATACAAAAGCGTATAAAATTTCAAGAAATGTAAATATCTTAGTTATGATAAATGTTCTTGATTAATAATTTTTTTCCTTAATGCTGTTGGATCATAATATTCCAATTTTAATGTACTATACAGAATGTATTTAGATTACTTCAATTTCAAATATTTTTGAGCAAAACCACAATGTTGTTTAGAAATTGTATTACACATCTGAAACTTAAAAATATATAATCACGTTTTATTGTCCCTGAAATAACTACAGTTGCATTCATGTCAAGGTGGGGATTAAAGATAATTCTGTGTGAATGTCTGAGTAGGTGTTTTAACTTGAAATTGGTACAATGGATACCACTGCTGCAGGTTATAAATTGGCAAATAAGGAGTATTGGTTAATTAAATTTTCTTCAAAATTAATCCTTTCTATAAAGTTTTACTTTATCATCAAAACTGAAGTGCTTGGCACAACCACAGATGTTTCCATGACATATTTACAGGATAATAAAGAGGACATTGATATTAAAATAAAACAAAAAGAAGAAACATATTTTGGACATAATTTACATACATAGACTTGCTTTTCTTTCAATGTGTATGAAGGCAATAATGCATTACTGCTGACAACCGAAATAATAGATTTGTTAAGAAAAATTTTCAAAATACCAGAAACTGAAAGTAACAATCACTTTCAAGGGATTTCATTTAGAGTCTTGAAAATGTATTAGTACCTGAAAATTATTCTGACCCAAAGAAAATGAGGCCCATTATCACAATTAAATCACTTTTTGATACAGAATGTTTACATGCATGGTGTTTCATGACAATGTTAACACACCTTAATTTACCTGTGTAAATTAACAGAAATAACAAATAAATACAGAAGATCTAATAAATAGTTATGTATTCAGCACCTTCCATGTGGAACATGAACAATAAGCAAATAAAAAGCCAGATCGCTAATAAATAAAGTATTTGCATGGCAGAATTATCAGACTTTTCATGAATGAACCGTTTCATCATCTCCAATTCTGAATTTAAATTTTATGAGGAACCCTCAATTCTGAAAAATCAGTTATTACAAAAGGACCTGTTCCATTTGCAGGATTATCTTCATTTAAATGTTGCAATGACTTTGGTTTTGTTTCACAACTTAAGGTAATTAATTGTCACCGGTATTCTAGGAATATTTCCATTACGGTTCTACAAATGCAACAGAGTCTAGATGCTAATAAGAAAAACAATATCTACTACAATGATACTAATAACATGTTTCCTGATGAATGGTACAGTTCCTTGGTACACTTTCCGGTCCCTCCAACACTAATGGATTCATACTTTGATGGCAAATAGAGAGCTTTGCAACATCAGTCTTTTGATGCAGATTTTCTACATCCTTTGAATCAAAGAAGAATGAAATTTACAAAATCACAATATTTTTAATTAAGTGCTTGAACACAGAATTTAGAGTGGGTTCACAATTAACTTGAACTTAATTTCTTCTTTTTTTAACAGATGTAGAAAAGAAACACACCAAGACTATAAAAGTAAATATAAAATACAATTTGCATCAATATTTGTCATTGACAAATAAGATATGAAAGTTAAAACAAGAATTGTAAAATTCACATTTGACTAAATTTCACATTTCTTTGATGGTACAATCAACTCTAACATATATAAAGCCTCATTCATATCCGATAACTTCAATTATCATATGATATGCATTCTTCTTTCCAATGAAATTGTACATGCATACTTATAAACAAACATTCCAGCTGAAGTTTCTTTTTGTTGTAGAAAAGTATGTTTAATACTCTCAGTTCATCCTTAAAAGAAGATCAAACTAATAAAGATTTATCTTCTTTGTAATGGTTTTACGACACATATGACAGATTTTTAAAGTAGTAGAGCATTTTTCACATGCACCATGCCCACACAAAAACACAACATTACGTCGACGCTCCATGCATATGGAACAACAATGAGCTTCTTCGATTTCCGCAATTTTACTTTCTAGATATCGCAAACGTTCTGTACTGGGTTGTCGAGATTTGCATGCTATTATACGACCATCTGGAACAAAAAAATTTGTAGAAAAATAAGAAATGTTCTTATAATTTTTTTATTAATCCTTTCAAAAATGTCATGAAGTCAAGGACAGCAACACACATCACCACTTCACTCTTACATTAATTTCAGTTTATTAATATTACTTCTTAATTATTAATTTAATGCGTTATATTTTGTAAAATACATTTTTTATACTGCTAATTTCTCTAGGATTTCAAGCAGATCTTATTATTTTGAGATAATCAATGATAATGCATGCCACATTAATTTAACATATTTATTTACAGTTGCCATTGTATATAATCACGTCATTTCTAAACTGTTAGTTGTTTTGGTTCATGATAAAAAAAAAAAAAAAAAAAAAAAAAAAAAAAAAAAAAAAAAAAAAAAAAAACCAACACAACAACACCACAACAAAGTACTAACAAGAAGGCAAAATTTAAAACAACTACACTGGCTCAAACATAAAATGTATTATCTGCAAAAACAAATTTTAAAGCAAAATTAGTTGCCATCGGTTACTGTAATTATGCAGAAGACATTGGGTGATTTCCTCAGAATAGTTAAAATGTAGGAAGTTGGAACAATTCAGCTTCTTGAGAGGACAATTTACAATACAGATAGTGAAATGCCTACAAAATGACATAGACAAAGCACTCAGACTTCATCGAAGGAAACTGTATGCAGTATTCAATGAATACGAGTAATTATGAGAAAAGCATTCGACATGATCAACACGTAAAAATTGATAGGCAAGCTGGGAAACCTCATAGGAATGGAACACACCTAACAAGACTAATAAATAACATCCTTGCCTGCAACTCTGTCCAAATAGACAACCAGATCGAGAAGTCAAGTCCAATACAACAGATGAACAGGGGACCCCATAAATCCCTTGCTTTTTAACATTACAAGGGGACCCCATAAATCCCTTGCTTTTTAACATGGCTACAATGGATAAAAGATAGCGTACAAGAGATAGCATCAGCAGAAGTAAAAATGTATGCATAACGCCGATGACATGGTACAAGTATCGATGTTACAAAACCAGCTACAAGTAGCATGCAATCATTTAGCAACATGGGCAGAAGAGAAAGACTTCATAATTAATAAGAACAAGACTGATGATGGTATTTAGGAAAGGAGGTTGAGTCGCATAAACCCATCATATCATTAACAACAAGAAACTGCAAATAGTGAATAACATCAAATATCTGGGTATCGCCTTCCAGACACAAGGCACAGCCTTTACCAGTCATATACAGGACAAGCTTACTACAGCCATCATTGCTGTGAATGACATCAGGCATCTACACAAGCCATCGTTAGACACAGCACTTCACCAGTTACGGGCACAGATTACTTCAATAGTTACAAATGCATTCTATCTCATATGGACGCACCTGTCGAAGAAAAATCTCCTGACAATTGAAAAAGTAAAATCGACATACCTCGAGAAGACAATGAGTCTATCGAAATATACACCTTCATGACTGATATACAAACTTGCAAAAGAGCACTTCTATATTGAAGAATTGTGACTGCAGCTGCTCTTGATGTCCTCTAATGCTCACAAAGAAACAATGAAAGAAATCATCACGAAAAAGAAATTAATATGGAAAGAATTCTACTCTAGAGATGCAATGATAACATCCAACTGGAAACAAGCCAACTATGAACTCATACATCTGATGACATGATTCACTGTACATGGTTTTCATACAGACTCAGCTGAATCAGAAAATATCACAAGCCTGATTTTCAGTGTAAATGCAAAATGTTCAATACGTACTGCAACTGTTATCATGTGATGATATGTGAGAAACAAAACATGTTAATGACCGAGATTTTCACCAGGGAGTAATAGATATGCGCTTCATGCATATTCACTACTTGAAATTGCCCCGTGTGAGCATAAGAAAACGAACAGAATGTGTTTACGACTAGAAGATGGCATGATCGGTGATATGTCAATGAATAACGAATAAACATGCAGAAGTATAACCCGGAACAAAATGGAGTATAAATATAGACATATAGATATAAAAAATATTAATGTTCATTGGACAAAGCTTAAAGACATATTAAAATGTAAGAAGTTAAAATGAAGATTTCTGAGATACAATCAGCATGATAGGAGATAAATAGCATGATAGTAACATTTCTGAAACTTTGCAAAGTACAAAGAGAACGTGAAGATGGGTGGTTGAATGTGTCAAGCAATGATTTATACTTTTCTGAAAAAAAATAACCAGTACTATCTATGCATTTTCTTGAATACATCATCATACTCGACCCTTACATTAAATATGGAAAAGTCTGGGATTCCACAGTATCTTTCACAAACTAATTGCTCAATGGATAATGTTAAATACGCAGATTATTCTAACAGATTTTGATGACAGAAAAATTTGACAGTAAAATTTTAAACTCATCATACCTTGCGTTAAACGTTTGTTTATAGGCTGCCCACACTTCAAACATTTCTTCATGCGTGACGAACAATCTTCACATGCTATGTGATGTCCACATGGTTCAAACAACACATTCTCTTCACCCAGTTCTGAACAAACAGCACATTCAACAGGAGCAAGGGTGCGTTTTTCACCATTTTCTGTAGCACTACTTGAAGACTGATCAGTAACTGGAGATTCTGTGTCACCAGATCTTGAACTCTCAGAACTGAGAGCCCTGGCAATAGGTTGTGTACTGCAGAAAATAATTCTGTTAGAAAAGTTAAAAATAATACGCAATAAAAAAACACGAGACATAATCCAATTCAATACCTTCTGGAAGTCACATACTGCTGAAGAATTTCTGTCCAGGGTGTATCAGCAACCAAATCCAATGGTGTTTTCCCTTTATTATTTTTCTTATTCAATTGACAACCTTCTTGGACTAGATAACATGCAATAGACAAAGCCACAAGATTTTCTGTTGTTCTGCTTGCCAACTGGGTAGAAATCTGTCCCCGAGGAAAAGAAATGGAATTCTTATTTTTATTCATACATAAAAAGGGAATGATTCAGTTTGTAAAGAATTTTGAAGTCAAAACTTTATCAGCAATTTCGAATAGAGGGAATGTTTTTTCTGAAACTAGAACATGCATTAAAATGGTAATATTTGGGACAATAGGTTGACACTATATTATCACAAGCTCCTGATTTAAACAGTACATCCAGGTTCTGAAAGACAAAGCCAAGTTTGGATCACATTTACTTAAATTATTTCGTGGTGTAGAGTGAATGGTACATTTAACATTGAGCCTGGAGGCACAGTGCCTTCAGGCTTGGTAGTAGATGAAATGTTTGATGGACCTCTCTCTCAATGTGTAGTATCTTTATGAACAATGTGATCACAACCTCCCTTCAAATCTATTTGCATTCATTCAAATCTTCCTTTCATCATTCATTTGTTCATTCACACATGCATTCATTCATACCAACAGCTTTTTAAACCCTCAGCCTATGAACTTGGGTTTTTCATAAACTCTTCTGTGAACATGACAGAGCATTTTGAGTAGATATATCATCAATGTATCATCCACAATAAAATGTAAGTAAACATATTATGAATTTTTTTAAAGAACATGCACATTTCAATGTTAATACGGACACTTGTGAAGGCATTAGGCGTTTAAAAACTATAAATTTCAGGAACACACTGTTGTGAGAAATGATTAGTGATGCTTTTTATGACAATATATAATCAAGAACAAGCACTAATGAATTTAAGACAGCACAAAAAAAAAAAAAAAGTACATGTAAAGAACTTTTTCCAGGGTAAAAAGAAAAATCCTAATAAAGTTAGTGTAATTTTGAAATTGATAAACAGTGGCATTTTTGTGAATGATAATAGATTAGTTCAGTGTCAAGTATGGATGGTTGGATGGATGGATTGATGGCTGGCATGAGCATGGATGAGGTAGATTGTTTTGTGAAAAAACAGTGGAATGATAGTTATTATCTTCTGAGCAATAGAGAAAGTTCTGAAAGAAAATTATACTTTAGAAGGGGAAAATGATTACTTAGAAAGGGTAAGAGGGGAGAGAGGAAGGGGTAAGGGAAGGAAGAGGCAGTAAGGGGAGGAAGAGGCAGAAAGGGGAGGAAGAGAGGGAAAGGGGGTAAGGGGGAGGAAGAGAGGGTATGAGGAGAGGGGAAAGAGGGTAAGAGGGTCAGTGAGGAGAGGGGAGAGAGGGTAAGAGGGTCAGTGAGGAGGGGATGGGGGAGAGGGAGAGAGAAAATCCCTAGTAACCATCTTTCCCATTCAACTTGGATTATTCAATTTTTGTCTTCGAGTGAGTTCACAAAATTTACCCTAAAAGAAAGTACAATATGGATTTGAAGATGTATTTCTCCATATGAATTTCACAAACAGTACAATGCAAATAATATTTAAGAATTTTAATTTTTCTTTAATAGAGATAAAATCTCATTACCCCATAAATTGTAGGTGCTTCTAATTCATGTATTTCTGTGTTAATGGAAGCTCTTTTCATTAGGGCAAGATGCAGGGCTGTATCACCATCCTCATCTTCAGCATGCACATCAGCAGACATGGACACAACAAGTTCTACCAGTGAACAATGCCCCTAAGGAAGAAAAAACAACATTTAGAAACACTAGACATGAAGACACCATTAACACATTTTTTAGTGTGTGTGTGTGTGTGTGTGTGTGGAGGGGGGGGAAGAATTCTTCAAGAAGTCTTTTATTCCACTTTTTAGAAAATAATAATTTCATGTAATATACAAATCATATCGTATATCTCAACAAAATAAAAGAACAAATTTTCAACTGGATTTTATTTTTTTTATTTTAAATGCAGAAGACTCATGATTATTTGACTCATGGTTAACCAAAGTTCCATGTTTACTGAGGCAGTCATCAACAAAAACAAAATAGCCCATTGAAAAATAGAACTCCAAAGGTGTAAAAAGTAGATGTTGCTGGAGGTACAAGCAGCTTTGAGCAATGCTGCTCTCAGTTCTAAGAATAATGAGACTTCTCTGAATTCATTCAATAATTTTGTTTCTCTGGTAAGGTGGTAAATTTTGTAATGAATATGTTTCTTTGTTACTGAGTATAGATGTGCTTTAGAAGTTGTTGAACATTAAACTAAAAATGAACATTGTAACTCATTTTTTATTCCATCACCATTTTACTCTAAATTATTCAAACTTGGGGGGAGGGGGGGGTATTTTCTCTGTGAGTCAACTGTAATAAAATATTAGCACATGATCATTTTTAATATTTTTCTTTTGTGAAGATGTTTTTTTAAAAGAAGAGTTTTAACAAACAAGAAAATAATTCAGGTAAGTTCAGGTAACTTGCCCCATGGGTTTTCTAGGCCATACATCTACTGTTCTCTATAATGTTAAAGAAAGTATTTTATGTTGCGAACTTGGTATCACAAAAGAGTGACCCGTTCTAAAACAACTACCGCTACACTCTTATCCTTCAAACATATAAGTAACATTCATCACAAGTTTTTGTATCAGTGTGTTCGTTTACCAGATTGATCTCATCTATTTGTTGGTAATTAAACTTTTCAGTATATTTGAACAGTTGTTTTGAAATTAATTATTGGTGTAGAATGAATATTTAAATTGGTGGTAGATAAAAAGAAGGTCAACCCTGGTTTTCAGCATATTTGTCAGATACCCTGTTATATTGCAGCTGAATGGGGTAACTGGACCACACTCTTTGAGTAACTGTGCCCTATTGTTGCCCAGTTAGCTTGTGGGTTTAAATATCACGAAAATTGGGCAAGCATTAGTTATCGTGATGAGGAGTATTTGCATGCTTATTACTTGTCTTATTCGCCTATTTTTGGACAATGCCAAGAAATAAAACATAATGCTTAACAAAAGAAGCTTGTGAGGGATCCTACTTACAGGAGGTTCTTGCTCAGGCAGTTGAAGACTTTAAAAATTGAAACTACAGCCATCTGGCTGCTGATTTGCACTTCAGTATTTCCAGAAGCACCCCTCACCGCTACATGAGATATGAGAAATGTCTCACAGAATGGAAAGGGAGGAGAACGTAAAATTCAATATCCACTTGCATTTGAGGACCTACTGACCAATTATCTTCAAATCACGAAAAAGAGGGAGTTAGACCTCTCAGGAGAGGAGCTTATGAATGTAGTGCAATGTTTTCTGAAAATAAATAGTCTATAAACCAAGTTTAGGGCTAGAAAACCTGGGCTGGAATGGTTCAATAATTTCTGAAATGGACATAGCCTTTCCTTAAAGTAGACTCAGAGAGTGGTATAAGGGAGAAAAGCCTTTCTCTCTTTTTTTTGGGGGGGGGGTGTTAAAACTTTTTTTTTCAATCACAGATAGACAAAGAATGGGTCCAGATATTCTGTAGAAATTCAGGAGAATTATTTCGCATTGTGTATAATTTATACTGAAAAGCTGAATTACACCCAACTTTTTTGATCAGTTGATCTTGGCAAATAATACTTTCAAATTTTTGTTCTGCTAAAAAAATGGAAGAAGAAGCAATTTTAAGAGCAAACAAAGTTAAGTATGTTGTAAAAGTATGGCCAAATTACCCAAACTTACCTTATATGCTATTCAAAAGTCCTTAAACATGTTCCAGTGATGAGTATTAATAACCATCATGAAATAAGGATTTTCTTTTAGACTTGAAAACCAACTGTCAACCAATGCAACAAATAATGACTTATAAAAAACAATGTTTTTTACCTGCGATACAGCCAAAAGTAGAGGTGTTTGTTTACGATTATTTCTTAAATCAACTTCTGCTTGGCCTTGAGCTAAAAGTGTTTCAGCAACAGCTCTGTGTCCATTTAAGCAGGCTAAATGTAATGCAGCAAAACCATCATCCTTCTTTACATCCACAAGTTGTCGAGTTCGACACAACAAACGTTCAGTTGCACTAAAAGAGATGAAAAGTTAGACAAATTTTTTTTGATACTTTTTTCTCTTAGTGATACTTTTCTAATTCACATTTAATTCACTTTTATTTAATAGAAAAGAAGAAAGCTCTTCAAAACATTTTATAAAATATTTACACATTTTATTTTGCACTTCTATAATGTTCTTTTACGAGGGTCGCTGCGAGGGTCAGAAGTTTTGGGATATACTGTGTTGTGGCCCATTATTATCTTTCCAAGACTGTGAATCGATTGCAGTGTTCTTTCGGAGTAATGAGTACAAGTTGAACCTTGTTTAGCTCAGCTTATCGCTGTTGCTAAGAAGCCTACCTTTCTTCTTCAATGCATCATTCACTTGTTGTCAGAATGGAGTGGACACAAGAGCATTTTCGTGCTGAGATTCTCTACGATTTTAAAAGTGATTTAAATTAATCTGAAAGCCTTGATCGTTTGAAGTGGGGCTTTGGAGACCTTGCGCCTTCCCATGTGACAATTTTTCAGTGTTTTTAAGAATTGAGAAGAGACAAAACTTTGTTGAAAGCCGAGGAGAAGAGCAGGCATCTGGCATCTGCGGTGACCTAAGAAAACAGCATCGTTGCAAAATCGCAGTCAATTTTCAAAATCCTGCACGAATAACTTCAAGTTAGGACAGTGGCATCCTGATGGGTGTCTCGTACTTTAACAGAATCACATCCATGTGGAAAAATGAGAAGAAATGTTAAAAAGTTTTAAAAGAGGCTCTAGGCACATTTCTGGCGTAGTTACTGCTGACGAAACATGGATTTGTCAGTCCTATCCTGAAAATAAGTGCCAGTCCACTGTAGGGATTTTTCCCGACACACATCCACCAACAAAAGTTAAGCAGCCTCGAAGCGTCAGAAAGAAAATGGTTGCAACATTCTTTTCCAAAAGAGGTCATGTCACAACTGTTCCACTGGAAGAACAAAAATTTGTTACTGCTCTGTGGTACACAACAATATGTCTACCAAACGTTTTCGTCAAGCTTCAAGAATGGCAACTGAAGACAGGACTGCAGGGAACCTCCTGCACCTTTGCAATTACTTACGTGCACACGGCCAACCTCACAATTCAGTTTTCGGAGTCAATAGAGGTTAAACTAATGCTCACCACTTTACAGACCTGATTTGGCCCCACATGATTATTTTCTGTTTCCTAAGTCTAAAGTTGCATGCAAGGAAGGAGGTTCTCAAGCCCTGAAGAAGCTGTTGATGCCTACAAAAGTGAACCTTTAGCAATCAAGGAAAATAAGTAGAAAAACTTTTGAAAAATTGGTTACGAGAATGTAAAAAAGTATAGACTGTCATGGTGAGTATTTTGAGACAATATAGTTATCAAAATTATTTCAAGTTTCTTAGTTTTTGTGTAACTCAAAACTTTCGTAGCGACCTCTGTATGCTCAGGTTCTCGTGAAAAGGATTAGATAAATGTTTGCCAAATATTACATCTCTAAAAACAGTAACTTAACACATGGATTTAAACACTAGCTATTGAAATATAGAAGCAGTTTGAGGGTAGCAAAATTGCCAGAAAACTCTGAAACCCCTGAACTGAACTTCAAGCGAGCTACATGTGTGCAAGAGAAGTATTCCCATAAGAACTACAGGAGCAGAGAAGCAACACAGCATTGTTATGCTGGTGATAACTGAGGGCGGGCACATGTTGCCTCCATACGTGATTATCAAATGAAATGATTTCAATTTCCATTCTTTTAAGATCTTCATAATTAAGTTAATACTGTTACACTGCTTTTCTTTCTTTCAGAAAACCTGTTTATTAGAGACAATGTAGGCCATTAGAATAAATAATGGGCATTTTATTCCTACATACGAGACCTGATTATTATAATTTCCTGTAAGGAAACTTTTAATTCTAGTAAAATTTTCTTTCCCATGAGTAAGTCAGAAGTCAAAACATATAATTTTATCATGCAGGGAGAAAAATGACTGCTTGGATTTAGTCTCAAGTACCTCTGACAAAGGGTGCATAACAAAGGGTCTGTGGATAAGCTCTTTCAGAAATAAATCAGTTCATCTGTGAAATGTGAAAATCTGTTCCCACTTGCCCTTTGCTCTGTCTTGTAGAAGACGCTAATCCACTCACTCGCCTTCAAGAGCTCACTCATTCTAATGGGGAGGGGGGCTGAAGCCCTATGTACCCATGAACCGTCTCCCCCGAGCACCACTTGCAGTATGTACTTACAAATTATTTCCTTTTAGTGCACCATGGTGAAGGACATTAAAACCTCGATTATTTTTCAAAGTGAAATCAATGCCAGGAACATTGCAAAGAAGATCTATGATTTCTGTACTATCTTTCCCAATTGCATCGTGCAAGGCAGTATCCCCATATGTATCCTGTACAATCAAAAATACATAATATTATCAACTACTAAATAAACACACAAATAACAATCAGAGAATAATCTCATTACTAAGTACAGCTCATCAAATATTTCCATTGGCATGTTTAAAGTATTTGGGACAACTTTAAGACAAGCATTCAAGAATTACTCTTATAACTTTATTTGAACAGAATGCATAACTTAAAAAGAATGTAAATTATAAAAGTTAGCCCTATAGAAGCCATTATGAATTGTTTCAAGCATTCAGTTCTCAATTTGACCTTCAAGACCAATGGGGGAACAATGGATCAGGTGTTGATCTAGTCTGGTTGTGCAACTTGAAAAGAAGTCTTGAAACATTTTTATTTACTTTCAGAGCAATGAAAAATGGTGAATCGAGTTTAGAAGTAGATTTGGATTTAACTCCATAGTATTTTGCAAGATTCATGTGGACTTCATTATTACTTTCTTTTACATATATGTATACATGGAGTATAGATAAAGCAATGCTTCGGAAAACTCTGAGATTTTTCAACTAAAAAAAAAAATCATATTGGGGGCCCTGCTTCAAAAAAAAGGTAGTTAATTCATGATTTAATATGTAGTAAATTACTCCCTCCAATGTTACGTAGTCAGATTTTATGAATAGTATTCCCTTGATACCGAAAAAATTGTTTTTTTCAAAATTTTTTCCATTTGCCATCTGTGAACAACACTGGCATCTTAATTATGCTTAGAACTTTTTCCAAAATGAATATGCCCAGTCAATCTGGGCTCACTCAAAGCTCTGGGGGTTTTGAATAATATTTTCAGAGATACTTAACATGCAACCCCAGAGACATTTTCAAATTTTTTTCAAAAATGGCTCCAAATTTTTTCTTGAAATTTCTTGGAAGAATAGAGAGATGGCATAGGTCTGATTTTCACCGTTATCATTGAATTCTTTGATTAAGGTTTTTTCATTGAGGACAAGTACTTTTTTTTTTTGAAAATTGCAGTAGTTTCTGCGCAATTTTGTTTAAAACATGAGCAAGATTAAAAAATATCAAAAACAAAAATTTCTCAGTGCTCCAAAATCTTTCTTTAAACTTTGGTAGGGGTAGTGCTACTGTACAAGATGACATAAACGCCATTTTGCTCCATTTTTTTGTTGTGTTTTTTCAAATATTACAAACATTTCAGTTTTTTGATATTTCTCTCATATGGTTTATTCTTACGCTATGTACGATTTGTATACATTATTGAATTTGTTAAAACAAGTGCTTCAAGTAATGTCTTACAAAGCTTCGCAAAAATTCAGAAGTTTTCTGTGAAAAGGAGCTCAAATTTCTGCATTTTCAGAAAACATTCAAATGCCATTTTCAGAAACACTCAAATGCCATTTTCTCATTAACGAGTCCAATACCGCTCACATTGTTAATATGTACATTTTCAGCAAGTTGTATAGATTTTTGCATTTATCAGTACAAGGGCATCAAATGATTTCCAATGATGATTTTTTGAAAAATCAAAAGTTTTCTATGAAAAGAGCTACAAATTTCACATTTACACTCAAGTTTAAATGATATGTTCTTAAAAACAGCTACAAATTTTGCAATGTAAATTTTCATGTAGGATGAGGTTTTACTCTTCTTTAAGATTCCTGAAATAATCTTTTGGTTCTACCATTAGGAAACTAAAAATTTAGAAATTTTTCCAAAAAAATATACTTTGGGCAGTGATAGATGGCAGCTGGCATGAGGATGGGGCATGGCCAAAAAGCTAGCACATACAAAATAAATTAGAAAACCAATTAGACAAGAAAGTGTCTGCTATTCCATAGCACCACTAGTTACTTCTGATACCGCGATACTTTTTGCCAGTATAGAACAAAACTACCAAGAGAATAAACATTTGAACATTTAAATTACTGGTTTGTAACTCACTACTTTGTAAGTAGACAATTATTAAGGAAAGAATGGAGGAATTTACTTTCAACAACAATATTGTTCTGTCTATTATAATACAAGACACGATTATAACCTATATTTATAAGAATATATAACATACAATTATAAGAAAATTTCAGATAAGAAAAAAAAACCCTTAAAATTGACTACCATTCTTCGAACAGTGTGATCAATTGGAATGTACAATTTTGCAGTAAGATGAAGTTGAAATCTATTACAGCAACACCTGCATGTCCATGCAACACAGAGAAAATGGCCACCTTCTGGGATAGGCATGTGTTCCGAGATACTGGTCCACTATATGTTAATCCCCCATAATGTCCCTTTATATCTAATAAGTGTCAATTCTCCCAAACAATAAAATATTGGGAACAATTCATCGCAAAACTAGTGATGCTACAACAGAACACACTTTCTTGCATTATTTGAAAACTTGTGGAGTTGAACAAAAACAAAACCTGAGCCTTTTTACCTTTTTATGTTCTACCTGGAAAAAAGAATGAAAAGAGAGGGAAAAAAATAGAATTACAAATTTAGAAACTTTTGAAAACAACAATTTTTCGTAAATTGTCTTTACTATAAGCAAAAATTATGTAAAAATTACTTGTTCTTTCAACAAGTTGTGACCTTATTTAAAGATATAATTTTGTAGAACAAACTTCACTAAAGAAAAAATGTCTATTATCAATTCTGCTTTTATAAAATGATATTTTTGTAAGTTTTAAAAATTCAGAGAGTTCAATGAAAATACGATCTACATCATGTTTTAAACGTTCTTAGCACTATCATAGGAAAAGTTAACTAAAAAGTTCTGAAGCCTTTTTTTAAAGAAATCTGAAAATATTGTTACGGCTCCTTCTATATAGTACCCTAAAAATTAAAACATACTTCAAACTCGCAAGGCCAATTTGGTCAGATCAATGGATGAAAATCAATTTTAGAAAAAACCATCACAATGGTTTAACTGATAGCATTGACCATGGTAAGATGTTTCGCCACCAACCAATCTTTCAGTACCAGGGTCCCAAAAATGTAAGTTTTGCTGTCAAAAAATCACCCATATTTGTCAAAGCATTTCTATACTTTATGTACATTGAATATCAAGAAAGTAATTATGAATCTTTTTCAGAATAAAAACGATGTGCAATAGTTGGCGCCATTGCTACAAAAGAGCAATTTTAAATAATCTAAAAAGAAAGTTGCATTTATTTGTGCCTTATGATAGTGAGGTATGGTTCATGTTCTTAATGTTGTCTCGATTCAGTAAGAGGCCTAAGGTTCAGAAATATTCACAATTCTTTCTATTTGACAATGCTTTTGTAAGACCATTTATACCATTAATACAAGTAATATATTCCATTGAATGAATCTTTTAGTCTTGAAGTCAGAAATTGGAGAATTTCATAATGTATTTTTAAAATATAACAATTATTGATGATTCAAGACATTGCTGGATCTGTAATTCAATGCCACAAATTATTGATTTAAATTTTAGATTTCAACATCATGTACGATATATGTTTATATTTAGACAAAACTAATTTTCAACATGATTGTACGCATTGAATTTTTTTTTTTAATGAAATAAATGCAAGGAATACCTGAATATTAATGTTGCATTTGTACTTAATTAACAATTTGACACATTGAACATGTTGCTTATTTACAGCCACATGCAAAGCAGTACACCGGCCTCTGTTCATTGCATCAACATTAGTTCCTCGCTTTAGCAAAATTTCCATTATTTCAGGTTGATTTCTGGAAATAGAAAAGCAAGACAAATATATTACATTGCCAACTTCCAGAAAGTTATCACAAAGAAAAATAGCTTAAATTCTAATTCCTAAGGTATAATAGAAGTACCACTCAAGCACTTTGCCACACTGAGGAAAATGGTGAAAGTACTTAAAAGGTTCTGGACTGTAAATAATCACTGCAAAACATGAAGTTTCGTGGATGAAAACATTAAAAACCATTCACCTCTTATTCATTTGCAAATAAGAGAACAAAACCAAAAAGTCAGTTTAGTACATCAAACTACGAAATTGACCTTGAGATAGTTATTGATATCTACGATATTGAATTCTTACCCAAAAGCTGAATAGTGTAAAGCTGTGTCTCCTTCATCATCAGGAATTTCTGGGGAAGCTCCAGCAGACAGTAAAAAGCAGACCAACTCCGTATGACCCTGATGACACGCAACTTGTAAACATGTTTTACCTCCACTCTTACCATCAACCTGAAAAAAAATACAGCGAAAACAAACCATCAACCATGAATATAACACTAATCTTGGTTGTTTACTTTCGAAAAAATTCATTAAATCTACGTTAACAATTAGTAAATATAATAAGTGTTCTATCATAATGGAACAAAAAATAAATTGTTTCAGGATATACATCTCATCTACTTACTTTTTCAGGAAATTTGGTTACAAATTCTCGCACAGTCTCTATATGGCCTTGGGCAGCTTCTCGCACCAAATTATCCATACTTGTGTTCTCTGGTTGCTCTTGAATTGTCAAGTTTGACAACAATGATGCTAAAGGGTCTGCACAAAATTCATATTATTAGCTATTTTAAAAAACACTTTAATGTAAGAGTTTTTAAAAAATTGATTAATTTGTAGTCACATTAACAATGTTATTATATATAAAATTATAGCAGCTAATGAACTGTACATTGTAACATTAACTACATGGTAAAATAAACTTTATATTATCATATATTAAATTATTATATTTCTTGGCAACTCCAATACAAGAGAGAAAGATATTGTATGTACACACACACCTCTAACTTAAACAATATTATTATTCCATTGCCTTAAATCAAAAGTCAAAAGAGTGGGAAATCGCTTTACGACAGGAAATATTAGCCCACTATTCTATCTGAAATGTAGTTCTTTATGGACACTGATTGTGACACAGTAGTATCCACTGTGATACACAATTATTCAGAGACTTAGTAACTTGATCAATGTAATATAAAGTAAATAATATGAGAAAGTTCCACAGAATTTTGCCCCTGCAGATATTATTTTCTATTGTATTCATCTGGAACATGAAAACAGTCAAACGATGTGGGCTTATGTCAAAGAAATGTCTTGCTTGTAATGCATTGTTTGTAACAACATTGCTCATTGCAATTATGTTCTTTATGTTAGCTTATGAAGTAACAAGAGTTTTAGAGAACTATTACTGGGAAAAAACAAGTATGGTGATATTTAGAAGATGAAACTGTTGATCAAAAAATTTTATGATAACATTTTTCACTGAGTTTTTTACCTGCACTCAAAGAATACCATTCTCTACTTCATTTGGACAAGTCATATAAACATATAATAAACATGATCATCTAGTAATATTATTACAAATACAAGGAAGAAATTCCGCAGCTTCAGTGAGACTAAGGGATGATTTCAACACAACAGAAGAGGTACAGGTAAGACTGGAAAAGTTTAAGTTGTTATTTGATGGAGTAATTGGATCAGTTATTTCCAAGACACCACATGTCCATCTGATGTTTCACTATGTGCACATTGTTGGAAAACTCCATATTTCATCTTTGATTTAGAACTGCTAAGATGGGGGATTAAATTTTTGCCAATCTCTTGACGGCATTTGAGATTTTCAGAAAGAGCTTAATGTGATAATCTGGTCAGAAACTTCATTGCTTCCTTTGAATGTAGATAAGTGTTCAGTTCTGCATATTGGTAAAAATAACCTTAAAGTACTCTATTCAATTGACATTCTGGCAGAGATTATTGAACAATATGATTTGGGAGTTCTTGGAAATGGAAACCTCAAATGAGAAACACAAATGAAAAAAGCTGTGAAAAGTTAGGTAAATGAAGTCACCAAGTGAGTGAGCACAACTCTGTTCCTAGTAAGAAAGGCCAGCCTCACATCTCTGCACTAACTAAGATCTTGAGACATAACACCAATAATTAAATAGATCAGCATAGTCAGATCCTGAACTTAAAGGCAAAAAACCTTTAGAAAGAATAGAGAACATCAACTAACCCATTTGACATTTACTGTACCTTGAGAGAATATTTCATTGATAACTTCGGAGAAGAGAAGAAACAAGACACAAGATCAATAAAACATACAACATTTTGAATCGTGTATGATATATCCTCTTTTGAAAATGTATTCACAAAAACTACAGACTCCTGACTTAGGCATTCAATGAAATCGCAGAAGGAAACAACCAAAACAAATTCAAGTACTAATTTCATCACCAATAGAAGTGTGAACCAGTGGATCACTCTTCTTGTGGAATTTGTGAAGAAAAAATCCATTCTTTCCATTAAATAATGTTCCATTTTTATCAAATACCCAAATGATATTTGTACTGTAATTTATCAATTTAAAGAGACTCATTATAATTTTATAATGAACACATTATAAAACAATATTATTATTATTATTATTATTATTATTATTATTATTATTATTATTATTATTATTATTATTATTAGTTCTTCTAATATTACTATATATAGTAATTTATTTTATAACTTATGTTTCTATGCCAAATGTAAAATGTAAAACAAGGTATGTATCTCGTATTGTTGATGCCATTATCATAAATAAGTTTGGCAATGCGACATTCAATGATGATGATAATGAGGATGTTGATGATTATAACGGAACGGAATCTTATGTAAATATATAATGAGCGGCGGCGATGGTGAAACGGTTAGCGTACTGGACTGTTGTACCCAAGTTGGCGGGTTCAAACCCGATCGAAGCCGTGGATTTTTAAGGGCGAAAAAATCCTTCGTACGCCTTCCTTCGGAGGGGAAGTAAAGCCGGCTGTCCCATGTTCGTAGATTTACTTGCATGTAAAAGATCCTCAAGCCTAAATGACGCCTCTGAGCTAAATTCAAAATCGCCTGTTTCTCGCCCAAGAAATACCTCCTTTCTCTCCTAGTTGGTGAAAGGAGCGTAGCGAAATTTGCGTGGTCAGACGGAAGAGCGGGCCTGATGGCCCGAGTCTCGCCACGTAAAATAAGGCAAATTCAATTCAATTCAATTATGTTATAGATTAATACAAAACCTTTTGATTTGACATGTTTGGGTGTAATTACATGCTTACATATTTTCCCTAATTCTTCATATTTTATTGCATGTTATTATATTTGCCTGAGCCTATGTTATTATATTATGTTTGCCTGAGCAGGATATCTCTGAAGAAACATTACAAACCTCTAGGACATTCACGGAATCGAAAAAATATCACTTTCTGCAGGTAGAAATGTCATATATTGAAGTTACGCAAGTGATGTTTGCCTCCTGATAGGTAGGCAACCAGCAGTGCACTAATGTTTGGCGGGCACACAAAATCTCTTTTCTGCATTACAACGTGACCTGACGTCATCCGGACCTTAGTAACGAATTATCAAATTTACCCCCTCGCTTCTCCAAAAATTCAGTTCTCAGAAACAAGGATGGGTGGATGCTTGCGAAGCAGCATGCTGGAGAAACCGTAACCATGGGCTTACTCATGTTTCATGTGGCTCACTCTTAACTTGATCGAAATGTGACAAACCCTTCGTACAGCTAATTGTTCTATCAAGCTTTTTGCACCCCGTGGAGAAGCGTAATCTCCTAACCAGGATGAAAAATTCGGAATAAATTTATGAACTGCCATCCGCTAGAGCTTATTGACAACATTGCTTTGAATTGCATTGCATTGCAATGAAGCAATCAATATTTGGTAATCGTTTTCAATAAATTATGTTCAAATGCAAAATATTGGATACAGGGGAGGGCTTAGGCCCTGTCCTACCCCACTCCCGCCCACCTGAATTCGTCATTCGTTTCTCGGTAGGGTCACGTGCACAAGGGCTCTTCCGTCAACAATATTACTACGTACGTATGACACAACCAATTATTAATTTACAACCAATCATTTCTCAGTAATACTGTTTAAGTATAAACTTAACTGTAAATTTTATTTGGATGAATAAATTAAAAATGTGAACAGTTTTTAAGGAAAGGAATCAATAGAAAATATTGGTTCAAATGCCTTGCAGCTTGCGATGTAAACGTAACAGAAGTAGAGAAATCGCGTTGGGAGCATTTGTTTCACCTTCCTCCAAACCAAGGAACGTGCTACTAATTGTAAATAGCGCGCATTGTATCTAAGTTTTGATGTTTCGCTGCGAGAAGTTTGATTTAATCAGTCTATATTTAATAATTCTTACTAGGTTTGATTGGTTAGTGATTCCGCGTGTCTAGTGCTAAGATCATTAGTTCCGTAAGAATAGTGCATGTTTGGCTCCTGGTGGGGGTGGCAGCGGTGATCTCTCGACAATCTTTCGGTATGTGCGGTAGTGTAGTGCATGCAAATGAAAGTGTGTGTACGGAGTAGGCTAGGACAAAGAATGGGAAGGAAAGATCGCGAGCGTTCCTTAACCATTTTGGTAGGATACGTATTGATGGGGGAAACCACTTACACTAGCCGATCAGGGCACAGTCTGCTATGAATTCCCCTCCACACACAACCGAACTAGGACTCGGCTATCTTTGCTAGCTGTCGAAAATCAATACATTTTACCAAGAAACCAATTGTTGAATTCTAATAACTATGTCTTTCTTAGTGGGAGCACACGTTATACCGATTTAGACTATACCGAAGTTTTAAAACATCTCAACCGTTTCGCAACAAAATAAGCACATGTGAAATCCAGGCTCTATTACTTCTAGCTGAATGTTAAGGATTCTTTGGCAGTATTGATGACCCACATGTCGTATCCTCTTACGTCGATGTACCGTTTCAGGATGACACTTGTTTAGGATCAGTTGGCAGACTTGCTGAGCAGCGAGACCCAGGTCGTCTTCTCCCCGCATCGCACTTCGGGACCGACAACCGTTGGTTTGCACATGACCGCTTGGTTCCCGGGCCTGATACCGGAAGACTCAGGCTCTGGGAGGAGAGAGATGTTGGGGGGGCGGGGATTAAGAAGCACCAATTCAAATACCGTGATACGACATTCGAAGCACACATCAACAGCGGCAAAATATACATAGCCTTCGTACACAACAGTTGTTAGTTCAATGGACACTGTCACGAAACAAGGCGATCATGGGATACTTGGACAGTCACATCAAGCGAGAGGGCAATCGCTTATTGGCAAGCGATAAGAAATACCGAAAGTAATAACAAGGCAGAGGTATTTAGAAAGGGAAATATATACTTAACTGAAAAGTTTTAAAAGTGCTTATAGGCTTTGGGACGCGTCATCATTCGCATACGCCACTGCTATAACACCATGAATTTGAGAAAAGGTTTTTAGATCACGTTCTCGTTCGAAAAGTACTTGATTCGTACTCCCCTGCAACGACTGAGGGAAGGTTTAGTTGAGGCTTCCTCTCGAAGGCCGGTAATCTGCTTGCTCCCGTGTAATTTCATTATTTCCTTGTCAATGCATTCTTCAAAGACAGCCATTTCCTTGTAGCACAACCGCTTGGAGTTTAACGAATGTTTCTTCAATGATTCACGCCGTATGATCTGAACTACCACTTAAATGTGTTTTTTTTATCAACACATGCCAACAGGATGATTCGTAGGACGGTCCGATTCAGTGCTAAACCAACTGTTCAGAAACATCATTACGATCCACAAGTGTTGTTTTCCTATAAGACTTAATTCATGCCCTATGATCAGAAACGGGTTACTCCTTACTGGCTCCAGACTGGCCTAGTGCTGGCTTCGAAGGGGCTGGTGCCAAAGCATATTGAGGCTTGCAGTACACACCCCGCAGTCATAAGGACTTGCAGCGATTTATACAACAAATTTAGATTAAATCTACCTCCAAGATAGCGGCGGCGATGGTGTGACGGTTACCGGACTGTTATGCCCAAGCTCGCGGGTTCAAACCCGATTTAAGCCGTTGGACATAACACAAAATCCTTCGTACGCCTTCCTTCGGAGGGCCACGTAAAATAAGGCAAATTCAATTCAATTCAAGATTCCTGCATAAAGGTGGCATACACTTAAACATGTTTAGGCCTCAAGGTCACCCATTTACTCTGACTTCATTCACCATACGTAGCAAACACATGGGAAGGTATTCAGCAGAGAAGGCGAACGAAAAAAAGTGAGAAACAAATGAGTGAAGACAGCATACAAAATTGAAAGCAAGAACATGTAGAGCCTTCGAGCCTTCTAGCCTTCTGGCCCTCTACACAGAAGTCCCAAGGTTGGTTCTTCTCATCAGACACAAATACTGGAGATGTGGTCTCTTTTAAATAACTGATTCACTTCAATTTCATTAAAAATGAACACTTGGGTAAAATAATATTTTTTTCAGGATCAAGGCAAGCTAACGATATTTGTGAGATTACTATCATTGCCACATCATACATAACATTACTAAGTCATATTAAGTGTTATGTGCTCTCAATGCTAAATGGAGTAGGTAAGTACTAATAGAATTTGGTAGCAGTAAAGGGTTGGATTTCTTGAATAGAAAGAATATCACATGATATTATTTTCAAATTGGCAGACTAACGTGTCTCGAAACATAGATATAATTCCAGTTTTGTCAGATCCCGAAAGAAGCATAGTACTTCAGTCCACTGATAAGAACAAAACCTACTCTAGCCGAACTCTGGGTAAAGTGACGATGAGAGACAAGATACATGTTAAGCCTTGGTAATGCTATCGAAGGAAGGGCGGAAACTAGTGTCAGTCATCATAGAGGCTACAACAAGAACCATAATCAGCATGCCAACCGTGACAGCATGAAAGTTGGGACTACCTGTTTGCCAGAACAAGGCCATCAGCGGACGTGGCTAGATGTTTTAAGAACTTGATCTTCGATTATCTAGCGCCCTTCTACAAAAAGAGTGACAATTCATCACAAGATATTGAAAACTATTCATCACGCGATCGCAAAGGAAAATGCGAGTAGATCCTCAATTTGTTAACACATTTTTTCTGGCGCCGACAATTGAACTAAATTAATTCCCCTCCGAGTTGGGCGCTCCATGCCGTTAGCAATGCAGTGAATTATGGGACATATTACGAATTTCGCGCGCCCTACTTTAAAAAAATATGCCGCTGGATGTATAAAAATTTTTTTTAAAAAATGCAGTTTCACTCGCCCTCAAATCGCCGATGAGCGCCGACCTTCGAGAAGCATCGCGAGAACGCGGGGCTGGCTGCCGCCCCTGGCTCGCTCGCTGTT